TTGGGCGCCATGGCGTCCGTCAATCACCAGCACTTCCATGTCTACTATTACGATCACCCGATGCTGTTGGAGAGCCTCCCGGTGCGCGACAATAGGCTCACCGGTTGGCCGATCGAGACGTTTGTGTTTGAATTGCCAGTGATTTGCGCGCAAACGGTACGGGAGTTGACGGAAAGGGTGCACAAAGTGGTCGACCACTGTCTGGACGCCAATATCGCGCATAACGTGTTCGTGAGTCGGGCTACCGGTGCCGGTGTTCGCGTGTTTGTGTGGCCCCGGGAGCCGGTGTTTGGCGCTAAGGACGATATGGTTATAAATCCCGCGTTTTGTGAGTTTACGGGATTTTTTATGTGTAAATCCCGTGATATGTATGACACGATTGATGAGGAGTTTTGTGTGAAACTGTTGTCTGAAGTGAACACACGTTGCGATCATTTGCAGCATTTGTTGTGACGTTTTGGTTGTAATTATAGTTGTTTTCAATGAGTTGTTAGTGTTTTAACACTTTCATTGTATTAATGATTTATTTATTTTTGCAATATTTCTATATTTCTGTACTGTTTTTAGGAATAAATTGATTAAAGATTTTGTTTATTATTGAGGTTATGATTGTTTTTTAAGGATTTTAATTTACAATATTTATACATGGTGGAATACACCAGGCTGTTTAATGGATTCAATTTGTGTAATATACCAGATTATTATTTAGCACAGGTTATTATTAATAACTTATTCTAGCTCATGATACTTTACTAAATACTTTTAGCTGTTTAGTGCAGTTTTAGTGTTCAATACACTAACCACTAGTAAGTTTAGTTAACTAATTTAAATTTACTTTTAAGAAAATTAATGAAAAACTGATCATGATCCTTTAGTTGAGTTGTTATTAATTCAATATTAGTTTCCTTAAGAATATTCTGATCGATAGCCCAATCATTATATTTATGCAAAACGTGTGAACATTCAGGCCTTCGGTTATAAATGGATAAAACCATTGAATGCAATATATTTAACATTTCAATGATTTTTGTTTTAATCGTTTCATTCCCGGAGTAAAGACTTTCGACACTATATTCAGAAATATTTAATTAATTTATTAGTTATCAATTAAAACATTACATACGTATCAGGGTCTGTGGTAAATAAATCCAAATTTATTATTTCTGCGCCAATAATAGCCAGACTATAAATGTCTACTTTATGCCCATATTTAATACCCTGGGCTATTTCGGGAGCTTGGTATTTTGGTGTCCCCACACCTGTAGTGTATTTATCATAAGTCTTATTTATGTTTTTCTGGTGGACTTTAGCCACACCAAAGTCACATAACTTAACAAATCTACCGTTCCTTCCGTTCCCATCAATCAATATATTGTCGGGTTTGAGGTCTCTGTGAATGATCTGTGGATTCAATTCATGCAAATACTGAACACTTTCTAAGATCTGACGGAATATTTCACACGAAATGAAGTACTCATAAGAACTCATGGCTTCCCCTAAATCTCTGTCAAATTCTTTTGGTTTAATTTCGAGAATATTCCGCAAATTCTGTGAACAGAACTCCATTTGAATGTAAAGGAAGTTGGTTTCGAGCCATGAGTTGTAATACTGGACCACATATTCTGACCGAACTTTTCCTAAATTCTTCACTTCATTCAGAATTCTATTCATATAATCCTCAGAAGAATCTGAAAGTATTTTTAAGAATATTAACCAATTTGTAAAATAATCTTCATTAATATTTACCCTTTAATTCGACTCTTTTAACGGCATATATGTGTTCATCGAATCTATGTTTTACTTTAAATACTGTTCCAAAACCTCCCGATCCTATTGCAGACAACTCTTGGAAAAGGTTTATATAATTGTTTTCAAATGAAATGTTTTCTAATTTTGAGGAAACAATTTAAAATTATTTTTGTTATTGTTTTCATAATTACAAAAACTGTAATAGTATTACCTGCCGGTGCCGTATCCTTTATATCCTTTATATTTAATGTATGACTCATTGTCTTACTATCTTTAGGCTCTCCTTCCGATTGACTCAAAGCTAATGGCAATCCATTATCTTCTTCCTCTTGTATATCACTTATCGTGTCCTCAGAATCGGCTTTAAGTTCACTATATGTCGACGACTGGGCCGACGATATGGACAGCCCTTTGATAGGGGTTTGAACCGTAGGTTTCACCGCTGTATTCAACATATCGTTTAAATGTAGTTTAGTTTCTCCAGAAGTGGTGACAGCTTTTGGGATTGTATTCAATGTATTGTAAGTTATTTGTCGTTCATTGGCGTAATAATCAATAAAATTAGTGTAATTATATCGTTTAACTTTATGCGGGGATATAATTTCATGAATATAATCGTCAGCTTTTATTATTAATTGCCTAGGATAATAATATGAATGTTGTTCATTAAATTGTTGAACATTTAAGTTCAATGAAATTTGTATCGGGGTACTTATTCTATGTAATTGTTTCATATCATCCATATATTTGCCACAAATATATATTATATTATTATTCGATAGAAAACACGTAAACGTATTGTTTCTATTATCTGATGAAGTGATTGCTTTGATATCTTTAAGATTTGGGATCAATTTGGGTGACAATGAATTAACGTCATTTGATGTATACCCCAATTCACCATCCACATTCCTACCCCAACTGAATACCAAACCCTCGACAGTAATGGAAAATGAATTAAAATAGAAACAGAAAACACTTTTGATTTTATAATTGTTCTCAAATTCTATCAATACTGGTGTCCATGCTGAAATATTTGTATTATTCCCAATTTGTCCATATTTATTATAACCCCAAGCATACACCTGTCCATTTGTGGTGAGCCCCAGGGAGTGATAACTACCACAACATATTTGTGTGATATTCTTGTCATTCAATTCGGATATGATTTCAAAACCTAATCCTTCCGTACGTCTACCTAATTGTCCGTAAATATCTTGACCCCCACTGAACACGTGATTCACGTGATTGATAGCCAACACTAAGTTGCAACCATTAATAAATCGTTGTATCCTTTGGTTACATAATTGTGGTATAATTTGCGGTGATTTCACTTCATTGTTATGACCCAAACCCAGACAACCCATATAATTACTTCCCATACAATAGACTGAGTCATTGATTGTAACAAATATTATATTTACTTTTTCATTAAAATCCATAAAAACATGAAATAATTTAATTTCGTGTTTTATATTCGCGTCAATCGTATCACAAATACTAAACTTATTCAAAAGTTCACACATTTTGAACACAATTATAAAATAAATTATTTAAATAACAAAAAAAATTAAATTAAAATAGAAAATGGAATTTTAAAATAAAACAAAAAACAGTTAATTATTTTCAACAAAACCTAAAATGAAGTCCAAATGAATAGTGATATGAAAGGCGTTGTCATTGAAAATATGTGATAACTATCCACTCATTCATATAAAACATTACTATTTAATAACGGGTTATATAATGGATTTAAATTCATTTATTGAATAATTAATATTAATTAATTAAATTAATACTGATATGGATCTTAAAATATAGTTTACCTATAAATACAATTCACATTGCTAATTTAAATGTTAATTAATTTGAGCACTATTTTAATTATTTAATTGGGGTTTCAAAATAATATATTTCTGAATGTATAGTGAATTGCTTAGCTTTTGATAACAATAATTATGACATTTAGAAACCATTGGAAACACAGATATTTATTAACAATACATTTTATGTTAGATTTACAGTAATTTATTAAATAATAGTTTACTTCTGATAAAATCTGCATTTTATTTATAAGAACATTTATTTAGACATTTAGAGATTATATTTACGTGTATATCCCCTGAAAGGGCGGTGCAATTGATTATTGATTTACTGTTATATTTAAACTACAATTCCTTATAAATATTTTTCATTAAACTATTTGTTTATAATACGAGTTAAAGTTTTAATGAATACTTTGATGAGTGCAAATTTTTACACAATTTACTTTAATTCATATTCAAACAAATAAATGACTATTTAATTGCCACAATATTATTGACACAGATTAAGGGAACTGGATGTAACAAAAGGGGAACTGGCAGTGGTCGAGTGCACCCATACGAGTACATGTTTGCACACTTAAAGAAAAAATGAATACAGACTGGTTAAAAAACTATTTTTAAAGTGATATTTTATTTTTAAAAATATTTTAATTTAAAATAATATTAAATTCATGTTAATGTTAAAGTACAATATAGTGAATTTAGCTATAAGTAATAAGAAATAATTGATTAGATTATTTCATGTAAAATACTTGGAAACACTCAATATTTCTATGATTTCACAGGAATTTAAGAATATTTCTGATAAATAACTCTTTAACACTGATGATGTAAACACACAATAAATAACTAAATTGATGAGCTAAAAGTAATATGTTAAGTGTTCATAGAATTATTTATCAGAAATTATTTGAAACATTTTGGACATTTTACCTTCAATCACCTCTTATAACTTGGGATCAAAATGCACGAAAATTAATTGAAACATTAGTGCTTCCAATATCGTCTTCTCAGGCTGAACGGGGTCAGGTTTCTATTATAAATTTATGAGAGAAAAGCAAATGGTGTTCAAACCTCCCGAGAATTGGATGCCCAACAGCCCGGGTGCGGCTGCGATGAATTACTTCTTCTGGGGTTATCTTAAACATAAATTAAATCGACTGAAATTGACAACAATTTTAGGCCTTAAATAGCCGTTAGAGAAGAGGTTCAGAAAACACCACAAGAAGTGATCAACAGAGCTTTAAATGTATTCGAGTGATTCCGATTTGTTTTTTTACGATTTCAGGCTTTAATTTGGTATATAACATGTCTAGGTGCTATTTATATTTAGTTTGTTATTTAAGTTTCAAATCGTTCCCAATTAATTCTGATCACTCTGTATTGTACTTTAACATTAACATGAATTTAATATTATTTTATATAAAAATATTTTTAACAATATAATACCACTTTTAAAATAGTTTTTCAACCAGTTTGTATTCATTTTTTCTTTCAGTGTACAAACATGTACTCGTATGGGTGCACTCGCCCACTTGGAACTGGTGCCAAAATAATGTATTATTTAAATCCAATTTGATTTTGTTATGAAAGGTGCTGTTATTGTAAATACGATATAAATATAATATATATGAGGTTACGTTTGGTTAACAAATGGATTTAAAAATTAATGGAATTTGGATTATAATAATTGGATTTAAAATTGATGACAGATTAGTTTAAAATATACTAATTTTATCTTGTATAAAAATTAAAACAAATATATTCACTGAGTGCACAAATTTAAAATATTTAATATAGTTATGCATAAATTAAATAAATACATTTATAAAGTACAGTATTAGATATTAAAATATTATTTAAAATTAAATCGTGATAACTAAACAAGGTTCATTCCCAATATAATTATTTTATTTATGCTTTCTATGGACAGCCGCTGGCAGTGGTGTCCGATGTGACCAAAAACGGAGATCTCTATAATCTCGTGAACCAAACCATTGAGACATTCGGCAAATTGGATGCATTGGTGAACAACGCCGGCGTCGGTATGTTTGTCAGCGTTAAGGACAGGGACACATCAAAGTGTTGTATTTAAACTACAATTCCTTATAAATATTTTTCATTAAACTGTTTATAATACGAGTTAAAGTTTTAATGAATACTTTTGTACGCAATTTACTTTTATCGCAATATAAGTCATATTCACACAAATAAATGGCTATTTAATTGTCACCAGAATATTGACACAGAATGAGGGAAATGTATGTAACAAAAGGGGAACTGGAGTAAAAAACTATGTATTATTTATATCAAATTTGATTGTGATATGAAAGGTGCTGTTATTTGAAATACGATATAAATATAATACTCATATATTTAAATTTTTATTTACTAGTAATTTTAATATTACTAATATAAAACGATTGCTTAGAATCAATAATAACTCAAATAAATAATATGGGTATTTTTTTGGAATTATAATAATAAACTTGCTGACTGTACCGCATATAGCCTGATATATTTAGTGAATTTTAAAAAATTAAAATGCAATACAAATATGAAAATAAAAACTTATAATGATTTTATGAAAAGTTTAAAAATCTAAATTTAATTACGTAAATCACAATATTTAATGAATATTTTATAATTTATTAATAAAACCTAACATTTAATAAATTATAGCACTTTAATGTTATTATGAATGCAATTATGGTTTCAAATAATTGGACACAAATTCATAGAAAAAAGTGTTTTCATGTGATATAAGTCTCTCTAATATTATCCGGAATTCACTTTTCCTCAGAATATTCCGATCGACAGACCATTCGCTGTATTCTCGCAGTACTTGTGAACAGTCGGGCCGTTGACTGAACG